TGTGTGTGTGTGTGTGTGTGTTGGTCCTGGGTCTTGAACTCAAGGCCTGGGTGCTGTCCCTGAGTTTTTTTGCTCAAGGCTAGGGCTCTAACTCCTGAGCCACAGCTCCACTTCCAGCTTTTTGGTGGTTAATTTGAGATTAAAGTCTCAGACTTTCCTGCCCAGGCTGGCTTTGAACTGTGATCCTCAGATGTCATGCTCCTGAGTAGCTAGGATTACAAGCATGAACCACTAGCAACTGGCAGTGAACAGTGGTTTTTACAGAGATTTTCTGAGTCCTAGGTCCTCAGAGTGTCATTTTGTGTGTGTGTGTATACACATAAATGCATGTACATATATACATACATGCATATACATATATAGACACACACACATACACATATATATATAAAACTTGTGATAGTTTTTAGGAGCTTACTAACACACACACACACACATATATATATATAAAATTTGTGATAGTTTTAGGAGCTTACTATGAAAGTATGAAGGTATGGGTTTGGGTAAAGATAAGATTTTAAAGTGGTTTGGCCAATAAGACTAAACCACTGGTTTAGTTTGATAGAAAACCAAAGTTAAAAAAACCTTAGCTGGGCCAGGCCCTGGTGGCTCACGCCTGTAATCCTAGCTAATCAGGAGGCTGAGATCTGAGGATCGCGGTTCAAAGCCAGCCCAGGGAAGGAAAGTCTGTGAGACTCTTATCTCCAATAAACCACTCAGAAAACCTGTGGCTCAAGCCGCTAGCACAGGGACAGAGCCAAGGCCAAGTTCAACCAAAAAAAAAAACAAAAAAAAATTTACTATGAAAGGAAATGTACTCATTACCTGACTCGTGCAATTGTAATCCCTGTGTACATCACCTCTATAATAAGTAAATTAATAAAAATTAAAAAAATTAAAGCCTTATTTATTTTAAATCCAGAATAGTTAGGCAATCAATTATGGTTTTGATTGTTTAAATAAGCTCCTCCATTCACACATAGAGAAATACCATGAAGCAGAGAAGAACTTCTTTTCCTAGGGAGGACCTGAGGCCAGCAGCAGGGTGGAAGCTGTATGGAAGCAAGATGGACAACTGTACCCCGGGGTAGAGTTGTCAGGAGAGAATTGTACATGTAGAGATTCTTCCCTGCTTCTTCAACAATTTAACCCTTTATAGTTTTCTAGATTATTTCAGGGACCCACTGACACCGAAAGCATAGTATGCTCCTGTGTTATTCTGCATGTGGTAGCTGCTCAGTAAGTGGAGTGCCTTGTGGGTTGTCCATGCTTGGTGGGAGAGGGGATGCTCATTTCTTCCTAATGCTACCTGTGCTCTTGTGCAGATGTCATGTGGCCTGTGTTTTGGACCATGGTGCGTACCTATGCGCCCTATGTCACATTTCCTGTGGCCTTCGTGGTCGGGGCTGTGGGCTACCACCTGGAATGGTTCATCAGGGGAAAGGATCCTCAGCCTGTGGAGGAGGAAAAGAGCATCTCAGAGCGCCGAGAGGATCGCAAGCTGGATGAGCTGCTAGGCAAGGACCATACCCAGGTGGTGAGCCTTAAGGACAAGCTGGAATTTGCCCCTAAAGCTGTCCTGAACAGAAACCGCCCGGAGAAGAATTAATGGAGGACACTGTGACCAATCCTGCTACCATGTCCACCCAGCCCTAGAACATACATCTGATTTGATTTGCTGCTTATTCTGGCACCTCCCATCCCACAACCACATAAGTACCAGCTGCTTCCTTATGACCTGCACACCAGCAGCAGCTGAGGGTCAGCAAAGAGGAAAGTCCCATCTCTTGATGGGCCTTACGTAGGTTGCTGCTGGGAGAAGTGCTATGAAATGAACTCTGGCTTTCAGCCTCCCTGAGGGGGCATTTTAGCCTTGAGTGGCAATGGTTGGGATTTGTGTGTTTCTTGTAAAAGGGGCACCTTTGAGCCTAATCCCAATTCACACATCTGGTTCCCGATCCTTTCCGGCTTATTTTCCTGGTCAGCTGGGGGATGAGGTTCCCTGGGGAATGGAAGTGTTTGTGGTCAGAGGCTGGGGCTGTACCCCTTGGGGCAGGGGCAAGTGCGTGTGGTGAATTTACTTGAAAACAGCGGCTTCCACCCCTCATCACTGTGGAGTGAACTGTGATTAAAGAGGCATCTGCAAACCATCTTGACCGAATCCTACCTTCCAGATTGGGGTGGTCTTAGCAGTAGGAAGTGGGTTAGTAAGGATTCCCTTTGTTGAGCAGTTGCTGAGAATCCTGGAGGGCCATGGAAACAAGAGCCTACAGCATCTCCAAAGTCTGGAGTACAGCATGCTTTTTCTCTCATACTTCCCTGTAAAAGAAATATATGTATGTGAAAGAAAATTTGTTTGGGATGAAAAACGGTGTCCACACTCCAGCTCTATAAAACCACTATTTAACATTTTGTGCTGATGCTGAAGCTGAACTCAGAGCCTGGGCACTGTCTGAATCATCTCCCCTCCCCCAATGTTAACACTCTACCACTTGATCCACTGTTCTACTTCTGGCTTTTTGGTAGCTAATTGGAGGTGAGAGTTGCAGAGATTTTCCTGTCTCTGTTGGCTTCAAACTCTGATCCTCAGATCTCAGCCTCTTTAGCAGCTGGGATTATAGGTGTGAACAGCACTGACTCTTTACTGCTCTGTAATTTTGGTTTTGTTTTTGTTTTTGGTTGTGGGGCTTGAACTCGGCCTGGGCACTGTCCCTCAGCTCTTCAGCTCAAGGCGAGCACTCTACCACTTGAGCTACAGCGCCACTTCCGGTTTTCTGGTGGTTTATTGGAGAT